AAGTTTTTTTTATTCATTTTCGGTATTTTAAATATTTTATTCTGAGTTGATTTAAATAGGAATCTTCGACTTAAAATTAGGAAAGATATTCCAATTAGCTGAAAAACTTTAGAGTAATGTATTCGTATTATTTTCTCATTCCCCATACCATTAGGGATGTAAAAAATATTCGGTTCTACTTAACTTTATGAGTCCAATCGAACTTTATGAGTATGGATTCATTAAGTTTTGTTTGGACTCATAAATTTTGATTGGACACATAATGTCAAGCAGAACCAAATATTCGTTTTTTTGGATCGAGTGGTGTTGGTTCGAATTCCGAGAATGCCCATTTTCTGCTTAATTCATTAACTTCAATGCTTTATTGAGATCATTATTTTGAAGAAAATTACTAATTTCTCAAAATTTATGATTTAATTTAAACTTGCATTTATTTAACATTCCAAAATAACTCAAAATTAAAATCAACTCAGTCTAAATTCTTTTATGATTTGGGATTGTAAACTCTTACTACCATGTAGTAGTTTATCCAAAAAGTTATAGTAAGTGATTTTTCAGATATTAACAAAGAACATTTTTTTGACTAAAAAGCAGACTAGCACACGGATACTGATTTTGGTATCCGTATCCGCATATTTACGGCGGATACAGACGGATATCCGCAGGGTTTTTATAACTCATTGTCCGTATCCATGTGCTAGTCTGCTAAAAACTGATTTATGTAGTGTAACACATGAATAGTTGGGTAAAAATTATTTAAATTTTTATAAAAATTTTTGATAATTTAAAGCCTAATTTATGCAATATTGCCTTAATTATTCAACTATTCATTTGTTTTTAGAGCCGATAAATTTAAATTGTTCATTTATATTTTAAACTATTATTTTATTCATTCTACCGGCTTTTAGTATAAAATTATAGTATATCATGTTTAATTTCGATACAACGATAATTTTTGTCATGCTAAATAATTAGAAATTTAGAATTATAATAAATAGCTACGAAACCGTTCAAGACCTCATTCAAAATTGCAAAATTATGGAAGAAGTCTGCTAACCGTTCATATGTTTTTTATACTTGGTCAAAAGTTGGAGGAGTTCTAGTATCTATATCATAATATCGAAATGATTTGAAAGGATTCTAATAACTAAATCTAAAGGGTGATCCTCATATACTTATATAATCAGCTTTAGGCTTTTTCATATTCGATATTTAATTTAATGCTAAATAATATGTAGTATTTATGTAAACACAAGTTGTATCAGGCAGAGACATTGTAAAAGCAAAAGCTAAAATTTATTGAAATTTTTATTTTTGGAAGCCTAATTTAATTTCTAGGCTATTTATCTCTATTTATATTTTCTGTTTTCAGCAAATATTTTAGACCTATTTGACTCTAAGAAACACTTTATGTTATCAGTGTGTTAAGAAAACCAAAAAATAAAACCAAGACAAGACCAAGACAAACACCCCAAGACCAAGAGCGAAAAAAAACCAAAAAACTCTTGGTTCCAAGACCAAGACCAAAATTCTCGGACATCTCTAATAAACAGTAATGAATATTTTTAGCCATCAATTCTCGGTAATTTATTATAACCGTCTCTTACTTCTATTTGAGTCTCAGCAGCAAAACATAATTAAAATAAAATCCACAACAATAAATAACAATAGGAAACAGGAAATTCACTACATTCCGATTGAAATTCATTGAAGAATTTAAGAATCTTAAGTTGGATACCTTGAAAATAATCATGTTTCAATATTGCTGAAAAAACAGAAAAAACGATATAAGCAACTTTAAATTTTATTTAAAAAACTAAAACAATAAAATTAGATGGAAGCGAAATTCTCTGCAATCCATTTGAATTTCATCGAAAAATTATGGAAGTTGATGAATTATTGCTCAGATTAAGAGTTTAGATAATTCATAATTCATAAATAAAATAACAATTTCACTTTCACCAGAATAAAGAAGTTCCTTGAACGAATTCCAAGCATGCCAACATCAAAGATGTCGGCATATAACCAATTACCAGGGCTGAGACTCATTAGACATGCTGTAATCCAATCTTGGCTGTAAACAGTTGAATAATTGTCATCCATTAGCTCATCTTAAGTACATTTAATAGAAGCAGCAGAGGTATTAGCAGCTTCAACTTCTTTATATTTCTCCTGATAAATTTCAACTAAAAAAATTTTTCATTTACAGTCAAAAAATTCCGTTATGAAATTTTATAGTAATAATAATTTTTCTAGAAATTATTTCTTTGATTAAATTTTAAAAGTCGCAGAACTCGATAAGTATACAAAACTAGTCTACCGCAATCCACTGGTTTTGATGAGAAAAACGGTAATTTAAAATTTCCGTTTTTTTTCTTTCTCAGGGTGTTAAAAATGGTCAGTCTTCAGAAGAACGTAGAGACATCGAGCTGTGTGAAGTATAATTGTAGTTACAGAATAAATGGTAAAAATAAGGAAAATAATTTGTTTGTCATTTTTTTAATAAATTATAATTTTCGGATGATTTTACTTACGTCTTATAGTAATGCAATTTTTAAATTGAATATTTAACTCAATAGACACTCCGTTTATATATTAATAATCACAGACTAAAGAAGTCAAATAAGATTTCGCAAGCAAATTTAAAATTTTTAGTTGTTTACTTTTTGATTAATTTTGTACAATTTTTGGATTTCTTTTCCAGGTAAAAATATTTTTAAAGATATAATAAAGCTTCTTGTTTATTTAGCTATATTTAGTTTGACGTAAATGCAGCTTTAGATGAAAATTTTAATCATAATTCTATTGAAAATTTTATTTTATAAAATTTCATCCAATTTTGTATATGAAAACGCGGTAAATTCATAAAATCTAGAAAAGCTAAAAAGAGAAGACTTTCAATAATTTGTAAATTTTGGAAGTTACAAAATCGATTTATAATAATCACTTAATAAACTAAACTTCACCGATATCCCTAAAATGATTTAAAAGCTAAACCCTTGGAAATGTTTAATCATTTTATTACAGAATTCGTATGTTAACATTATGCCATGATTTTTTGGTTAAATGGATTTTTCGGTATCGGCACCATGAGTACCGAAGTACCGAAAAATCCCGATATAGAAATTAATTTTATGGGAATCGTATGCTTTGAAACTTTAATTTAGTCAGAAGTTTTGCAGGATATCGAGTGATTAAGACGGAATAAGTGCATATAAATAGAATAGTTGAATCGAGGGTATAGAAGAGATCAGTAGCTTCGTAGTAGGATTTGATGGATTAAGGAGTATATTTTAGGATTGCCTTTTAATCCCTCGGTATCACAATAAATATCTAGCCGAAATGCTTTTAATCCTAGATTTACTCATAATAGATATAATCCACGCGTTTGTTTCCTATAGTTTACATACATTATTGTGAGATGGATATAATGAGATTTCGGATATAGTGTAGTGTACCGGTGGTAAAAGTTCGGGACGTGACATATGTCATTCGATTCGTCTCGACGAGCTGAGTCGAACGGTACCACTCTTAATTTTAGGAAATGATTCTGGGCCGAGTTATAGGTCCCGAAAAATTGAAAAACCATAGGGGGGACCAAGCACTTTTTTGGGGTGAAAAATTCAAAAAAGCATATAATAGCTCATTCGAAAGAGCTCGTCGAGCTGAGTCGAATGACACCAAAATCAGCTTGATTGTAAAAGTTTGGACAAAGTTACAATAGAAAAACAAACAACATAAACCTATGGGGCGTCGGCGAGGCGCTTGTGCAAAACCCCGCGCTTCGCGCGGGGTTTTGCGGCACGCGCCTCGCGGGGAGTCTACGGGCGCTGGGTCTGGGTCAGTAACATAAACCTAGTCCCATCTCCCTTGCTCTGGATGTATTTGGGGCTCCAGTAGCAGCAAAAACCTCCACGGGCGCCATAGGTAAGGAGTTAAAACAAACGGTCATAACTTTGTCAAATCAAGTCAGATTTCGTTGATTTTGGTGTCATTCGACTCAGCTCGCCGAGCTCTTTCGAAGAGCTATTATTTGCATATTCGAATTTTTTACCCCAAAATCGAGCTTACTCCCCCCTTTGATTTTTCAATTTTTCGGGACCCATAACTCGGTCCAGAATCATTTCCTAAAGTAGGGAGTAGTACCGTTCGACTCAGCTCGTCGAGACGAATCGAATGACATATGTCACGTTCCGAACTTTTACCACCGGTACACTACACTACAGCCGAGATTTCTTCAATTTCTTCAATTTTGTAAGGCTTTATTATCTTCTATTTATTTGAGCCTGCCTAGTTGACAGTCAACTCCGAACATTCCAATTGATCACCTACGCCTTTCTTCTATTAATCACACTTTTTTATAGTTTACTTTTATATTAAATAAATATTTTTATTTGTGTTTAATTGTGTTTGATGGATTGTCTTCTGAAGATGAAATATCTTCGTCGTTCATTTCATATAAGAAATAAATGACAAGGAATTGTGACAAGGAATTGTGCAACTACATTTTCAACACAAGGTGGAATTTGGAGTCAATATAATGTATAAATAAAATAGAAAGTCTACGTATAAGAAAAACTCTGTGACTCAAAATAGGAGGGGGGTGACATATCCACAAAGTACCAAATTTATTAAATATGTAAATCAAAATTTTCTATCAATCCCAAAATCAAAATCTAAAGAATAAAATACATTTAAATCATTAAAAATCATGCCAAATTCGTAAAAATGTACAATTGCCGCATATGCTCTAATAATTAGCCAGGGTAATATTTACTCAATCTCTTGCTTGAGAAGGTAAACATTTTGCACTGCCCCACATTCACCCACCTTTTGAGCCAAACTGAACGTTGTTTGTGGTACAATCTCATTTCATGACCATTACGGCACACTCTTGTTTTGTGTAGAAGATTACGATTCTGTAAAAATTCTATGTAATCTTTTTCGACAACGATAAAAGTAGTTTTAAACAAATTTAGAGAAAGAGTTTGCAAAAGTTTAGCCATCGGGCAGGATTCGAACCTGCGACCACCTGCTAGTTGTTGCTAGGCGCTTTCGCTCAATATATGCCGGAACTTTACCTCTGAGCTACCGGGCATCGACTAATGCTTTCTCTTTTTCCTTTTTAGATCGTTTAACCCCCGCCTAAGCGTTTTAAATTCTGCTAGGTGAATCCTTACAATATTTCTCTCGCCCAAAATTTCCTTCTCTCTATAAAATCCTGGGGATAGATTCTATCAGCTATTTTCAAGTTTCAATTTAGGCAAAAATATAAATGTTATTCAATTTTCCAACTCATCAAATTAATAAATTTTTTACTTATTCAAATAAAAGTTTAGAAAGTACATTATATTGTCTAGACTTGATTTATAATATTTAATTTTTATTATATTTAAATTTTGAAACCCGGGGAAAGTTCATCAATTTCATTAATAATTAAAAGTTTTAGTAACGTTGGCATTTATATTTAAAAAGCTGCAATATGGTAAATTTCTCCTATAAATAGTCGAGTAAAATGACAATATCTATGATCAATTTATTTCAGGCTTATTTATTAGCCCACAATTTATTCCTTAATAAAGTAACGTTAAAAATCAGTCTTGTTAGTATGCTTAAGTATAATTTAATACTAAATTTAATTCTTAAACGATTCTTTATAGACTAGGGCCATATGTCTGGAATTTGAGGAAATTAAGGGAATAATAATGGTTATTATATTTAGCCTGGCCGAACATTATTCACCGCTTATTATTTACTCATTCAGAACCACCTATCGAGCAAAAAAAGAATACCATCTATTTTCTTGACTGATTACAAATCTATGCTATGATTATATTAAAAAATACAGATAGGCGGGGAGAAGAGATTAAGACGATATTTTTCGAGATATCCCGGATGATTAACTTAAAACCCTAGTTCGGTCTCTATTTTGTCATCTAACGATAGTCCATACGTTTATTTAAGCTTCATAAAACCAAACTTGTAAAACCAGTTTAAATTTATTAGAATTATTTTACTAAACAAAATGTCTAATAAAACTACAATTTTCTTTATTTTTGCAATCTGTTTATTGATAAATGAATGCTTTGGAGATGAAACATGTTCGCAAGATCTTGGAGTAATTTGCAAAAATATGACTAAATGTGGCAAGGAGTATGTTTTTTTATTTTTTAATTAAATATGGAAATTTTCAGCGCTGTTTGTCGTAAAAAACAATGCCTGTGTTTAGGACAGGTAATTTGTTAAGCTTGATAAATATTATAGTTAAATTTTTGTAAGGCCTATTATGTGTATCCCAAGAGCGTAGCCAAGGATGGGGGCTTCTGGGGCTAAAGCCCCCCCCCCCCCGAAATCGACCCTGTGGCAACGCCCTTGGTGTATTTCATCCAGTTTTTAACAAATCAGATATTTCCTAAATAAATATAAAATTATGAATATCTTCTAAATAAACTAAAGACGAATTTCGACTTTACCTAACCCTTAGGGATAGAAAAATTGTAAAACATATGTAGTTGTATTTAACATTTGATTTAATTGGGGGCATGTTTATGTAGCTCTCCCAAACTACCGTAAATATCTTAATAGAAGCCCAGTCCTAATAGAAGCCCAATCAAAGAGTGGTATTGAAAAATATAAGCCCATGCCCTAATATGTAGAAGCCCATGCTCTATTATAAGCCCACCGATGGGGTGTATTGAAAAATATAAGCCCAGTTCTTATATTAGGATATTTACGGTAATAGACAAAAAAGTTAATGGCAGTGTTTGAAAAAAATTTTTACTCGTAACTGTGTACGGTTACAAATTAGGCATGTAGAGTACGAGTACATGGAAAAAATAAGGTAGGTACGAATGTAAGAGTATGTAGGTGCAAAATAAAATTCCATACACAGGTTAACACCTTGTAATTTGGTGAAAATTTAAACGACGCATTAATCTCCATGAAGATTAATGAAAATTTTTTTTAGAATTTTGACCCTGGCTATGATGGACAATGCGGAAACAAAAAAATTGATAAATATATTACGAAACAATGCGGAAAGTCGAAAGGGTAGAAGGCTTTTTAGAATATCCTTAATCTTAAAAAGTGAATAAAAAAGATTAATCTGTCTAGTACTTGTTAAATTTAACTGGATATTTAAATGGAAATAAATATGTTGATTTTTAATTAATAATTAATTTTAAAATTTGACAAATGAAATCGAAAGTAGTGACGTCATTTTCGAGTCAATTTGTTTTTTACGAAACATATATAGGATAGGCAGTTATAGGCTTTTTAGAATATCCTTAATGAACACATCTTTTAATAGTAGGGTTGATGGAAGATAATAATAATAATTTCAAGCTTAAATTTAAGAGTTAAACAATTCGATTCTTATTAAGAAACGTATATATAAGGATATCGGATCAGAATATAATTTGAAGTGTGAACACTCTTGACTGGCTAAGACAAAAACCATCAAATTGTGAATTTAATAGTGTTAATAAGAATCTACAAATATTCTACAAAATGATGTTTTTATATTTAAATCTACCAAACAAATTTTATAATGTAATATGTGGAACTACAATTAGATTATTGAAGAGTTGAAATATATGGAAGTGAAAGAATGTATTTAATTAATGTTTAAATAACTAGAAGAGGAAGATACAATTAAAAACATTTAGATTCGAAAGATATAGATAAACCAGTTAATAACTAGAGAGTATGTATTTAGACTTTGGCCGTATTTAGGCCATAACATTAAAATAATTTAATGTAAATTTTTCTTCTTTTTCATTTTCGGTTTTTTCAATCCATTCTTTATTACGACTTGTAAATTATTCAGGTTCAGCTCACCCAAACGTCCATATTGCTTTAAAAAATAATTATAAGTGGCTTTTGTTTGAAGGGACAAGTAGTATTTGGAGTCTTACGGAGCACTCTTCCAAAGGATCAAAGTAAACCCTTGTATTTTGAGGAACCCTCCTCCTCCCGAGTTTCTATAGGAAAGTGCAGTAAAAGGCAAAACGAATGAAACTACGTACCATAAGCTCATATTCATTTCCTTGTATAATTTCGACCGCTTCATTCCAGGCATAATTATACTTTGAAAGGGATTTCTTTTAAAATTTTAAAGTTAATTATTAAATGAATTTTGTATAATTTACCATTTTATTAACAAATACTTCCTTTATTTTTTGGTTAATTTTTTTATTTTTAAGTTTAATATCCAATATTAAATTGCACATAGCCAAATATACTCCTATTTGACAGACATTTATTATTTTTTCCCTGTTTTGTATATCAGAAATCAGATCATCTCCATCCGTTTCTTCGCCTATTTCGCTTCGTCGAGTATTATAAGAATTAAAAGAATCCTCAGGCGCAAATATTGCATTCATTGTCCTACTGCTAATTGTCGGACTAATTCCCCTCTGTACCAAAGCATTACAATGTTTTGTTGATACGCTGGCAATAGCGGCAAAAAACGGCGTAGATCCTTGATCATTCATACATACAAAATTTATTTTTGATAATATTTGGTCCAGAATATCCTTAGCTTCTCTAAGTAGAAGTATTGGATCCTTAATTATATATCTATGTAAAAATTAAAATCATAATTCTTTAAATAAAAATTTTGAGATATTACATTGTAGTGTATTTATCAGGGCTAGGCCAGCCATGGTATTTATATATCTCATTTAAAAATGAAACATAATTTTTGAATCAAAAAGCTAAAATGTCAAAACTGCAAAAATATCCAAAAAAGGTAAGAAACCGAATACTAGGTATCATAGATTTTTATATATAGAGAGAATTTTTATTTTCGCCAGCTCTGCCAGAGAGCTGGACGAAAAACTCAAGAAAGAACAAAGATCCACTATACATTGTATACAAATAGCAGCTTTTAGTCTGTCAAAATTTTAAAATACAAACACTGTTATTGTCCGTAATAGTATCAAAGGCTCGCATAATTGCCTCAACAAATTTTATTGTTTGCGATTCATCTGGAGCCATAACTATAAAATTAATTAAAAATTGGTCAACAATTTCCCATTATTTCCAAATACGGTAGCCCCTTAGTTGCAATACGAAAAAAATAAATTTTGGGGTTGTCTAATCGATATAATACCTCTAGTAGGCAAAGTTATTGTTGAAGGTCCGGCCTCTTCCATTGCTTTGTCAAGCTCTATCGCGGTTTCTTTTTCGCCTTTATACATTTCCGGGCGTGATTCATAAAATTTATCTATCTCAGCAGCAAATCTAGCATCTTCAACTGCTTCTCCCTGTTCAATTTCTTCGATTACAGCGTGTTCAGTAATTGTGGTTTCATGGTGATACAATGCCCGAGGTCGAATGCAGCAATCTTAAATTTTAAGAATTAAAAAATTAATTGAAATTTGATAAATAAATTATTATAATTTTTAGTATAGATTTATACTAAAATATTTTTAATCCCACTCGAATTTTGATAATAAATCCTATAAAATGTAGTAAAGCAGCTGGGCTATAGCTATTTCTCTCCTTTAGCTAGTGCAAAAGGTTATTCGGCGGCTGGGAGCGAACCAGCATCTTCAGTAGACCGGACTGATGTGTTAGCCATTACACCACGCCGCCTACTGCTCAGCCCTAGGAAATTAATAGCTATATGCTTTACAATGTTAAATTATAAATTTTTTTTTCAAATAATAATTAAATCCATGATGCGGAGGATAATTAGAAAGTGGAATAGGACCATTACGGAATGAGTCCAAACAGAAGCACAACCGATTGTGATAACATCTCACACAATGTCAGGAACCTAATCTACAAAGTGTCTTTGATATAAAACGTGGTAATACTGAAGCATACAGACCCGATTTTTTCCTCCCCATTTTTCCCCTTATATTTTTACAAAATGGTCAGACTTTTCCTTCCTTCCGTGCAATTTGCCTCTCTAATTTTTGCCTACAATCTGTATGGTTCAGTATTACCTAAAACGCGAATTTTTAAATACGGACATGGCTTCGGCTTTCTAGAAACCTTTTTTGAGAATTTTATAATAAGGGTATAATTTTTCTTATATTCATTAAATTCTTACTTCCTGAATTTACTTCAGATACTTTGAACAGTAA